CTGTCTGTCTGTCTGTCTGTCTATCAATCAATCAATCAATCAATCAATCAATCAATCAATCAATCATTTTAGACAACCTAAAACAGCAAGAACCAAATAAATCAAAAGAAAAAGAAAAAAAGAATAAGACAGAATAAAAAATACTCAGACTAACACATAACATCCAAAAAGAGGCTCACCACCCACCCTAACCCAAGGCCTAGGGAAAAAGCCAGCCTTTCAAGATCTATTGAAACATGGCCAGATTGAGGGCCATACAGGTCTCTAGGGGGATGCTATTCCAGAGGACAGGCACTGCGCATAGCTCCCCACCCCACCCTCCATATCTTTGGCACATTGTGTGTATAGTCCTTGTGGGAGAAAGATTCAAAAGCTATAGGGGAGAACTTAATGGCTCCCCCATGTGACTACCATAAGAACTTGTGTATACACATGTGGCTGCCATGGTGGTCCTAGCTGAGCACAAAAGACTCATTTACCAAAAGGCAGGCTGATGAGGTTACTTTTGGTGACCTACTCTAGCTTCTCAATCTTTACCACACCATTCTGGGAAGCAATCTTAGAAACAAATATAATTTTGGAGGTTTAGGTTTTACTTCAATATACCAGTTTCCATTTTTAAAAAATAATAAAGTCAGGTGACTCAAGAGAGATATTGGTAGGTACCCTGACAGGCATGGGCACCAGGGTTGACTGCCCTATTGTAAAGTAAACTCACCCTTGTGATATGTCCCTTGTCTTTTATACCAAGGAGTCATTCATATAATTATTTTTATTATGTTTCCAATCTTTTCTTTCATATCTTGAATAGGAAGGGGCAATTTATTCAGAGTTCAAGCAACTCCTGATTCAGCTGAATAACCTCAGCCATGGTTACCAGCTGAAGCTGGCCAATAGTTTGTTCATGCAGAAAGGATATCAATTTCTCCAGGTAAGGCCTCTCTCCTTCTTTAAAGAAAATTAGAGCTCTTGCATTGCTGGAAAATATTCTAGATTCAACGTATACAATCTTCATGTAAAGCTGGGAAATACCCAGGGCTAGACCTGCCAGTCAGTGTAGGCAATACTGAGATAGATGGACCAGTTATCTGACTCAGGTTCAAGCTTCCTATGCTATGGTAATCCTAACACCAGACACTTCTTTTAAAAATGAAGGAAAGGAAATGAAGGAAAGTTCATGTCCAAACTCGCTGATTCTTTGCAGCAATCTAAGCCATTGTTCAAAATGGGTGTCTGAACTGAGGTCATTTTCAGTTTGACATTATTGCCTTAGACCCAACAAAGGAGGAAAAATGTGTCCTTCCCTTTGGGAGTCACCGTGAATATTTTAACATTTCATCCCCCAACACTTAATATCTCAGAAGAGCCTCTACCCAGTAGCACTATGTTCTGGCTAGGGTACCAGACATCCAGCAAAAGGAGGACATGTCCTCCTTTTTGTCCTCATGTCCTTTGTCCAGCAGGTGTTGCCTTAAAATCAAGTATTGTCTAGCTTTTTGTGCATCTTCCTGAGCTGCTTTTCTCCCACACCCAGTGCTTCCCTAATAAGTGCTAATCACAAGTTAACAAGCTCTACTCTGTGATCTTAATTAGTTGATTAGTAACCTCAGGCCAGCTTGTCCTGCTGCCTGAAATTGACAAGATCTTTATCAGTTACACACTGAAGGCTTTTGTCTCTTAATCCTCTAGCACATTCCTGTGATAGAAAAGGCAATCTTTCTGATGCTGGAAGAAGTCATTTCATATAGACTTAAGTACATTTTTTTTGCAGTTTTACATTGTAATTTTTGTCATAAGAAAGTCAAACAGTTAATGTGTCCTCCTTTCCCCCATTTGTCCTCCTTTCCAATTGTCCCCGTCCTCCTTTACCTGTTCAGCTCTTTGGTAACCCTAGTTCTGGCAGATCTGAAGGTTCCCTTTCTATGGGAAAGCTTGATGAATTAGAGATCTTCCTGAGGAAAGCCTTGGTTGGGGGAATCATACTCAGAGGCTTGTTGGATTTGTGTCTTGCCTCTCCATGTAAGAAAAATAGCACTCCTAGTATTTAGCAAACAAAATTTCAAACACAGGAACTGCTGACTAAAAATGCATCATCTCCAGAATGTGTTTTTCTTTTCTCCCCTCTCTCCCTCTCATTGAAATCTTCCAGCAATATCTCACACGTACCAAAGAAATCTATAATGCTACACTACAGACAGTGGATTTTTTTAATGCTGCTGAAGAAACAAGGGAGACAATTAACCTTGAGGTTTACAGGCAGACCCAAGGTAAGAAAGGCAAGAGTTTCTTGTCACAACAATAGATAGTCCTTGCTTAACTACCACAACTGAGACTGGTGTTTGTTAAGTGAAAATCACATGATTTTCTGGCTTCTCCATTGACTCTGCTTGTCAGAAGCCAGTTACAAAGTGCTTGAATCTTGATATGTGACCGTAGGGACCCTGTGATGGTTGTAAGTGCGAGGACCGGTTATAAAGTTTCTTTTTCAGAGCTGTCATAACTTCAAATGGTTGCTAAACAGGGCAGTCATTAAACAAGGACTATCTGTACTCCATTCTGTTGACATTACAAGAGAAATCAACTCTCTTCTAGGTAGGTGGAGGTAAGAGAGCCAAGCCTTGAGGTAAGAGGTGGGGGGGAAAAACCCTCCCTGAAAGCCTAGAGATGTGTTCCAAGTCAGTATTGCCAAAGCGGAGCTAAATGGATCTATAGGCAGTTTCCTGTTTTCCCAATATACTCTTGGTTCTTATACAAGTCTTCCATTCTATCCATCTGTGCATCTTTTTCAATGTAATTTATTATGGATGAAGGCTTCTGTAGCATATTAAAAATAATTATTTTGCCTTTATGAAAAGGGCTTGTATCTGAGCACCCTAGAGATGCTATAAACTGAAATAATAAATAATGTCTAAGTATTAACAATTTCAGGAAGATTAGACACAAGCATCAGACACTTATGCCTTTGGCCTAGAGGTAGCATGTAGCTAAACTTGGCTGATCCCCCCCCAATTAAGCAGGTTCTGACATGGTTAGTGCATAGCAGAGAAACCACCAAGGAATTGTAGGACTATAGGCTTGACTGCAAAATTGGGGGAAAAATAGCAAAATAAGACAATGGCAAACCATGTGTTATTGCTGCCAAGAAAACTCCATGTCCATGTCCATGTCCATGTAGCCTCCAGGAATTTAACTTGGCATGAAGGAGGCTTCCCCTTTTCTCATGCTTTTCAATAGATGCCTAAAGGATGACTGGAGGTTCCATGCCTTTGGACATCACCCCGGGAAAACCTTGTCCAAATTCATATGAGTCCATTTCATGCAGCTTAAACAGCAGTAAAATAAAGAGCAATTTCACACAAACAGAGTGGATAACTGATGGGCCATATGCAGCTCTTGTGAAGATGTGTGGACTTCAGCTGGATGGGGCATTCTGGGAGTTGAAGTCCAGACATCTTAAAGCTGCTGAGGTTGAGAAACACTGCTCTAGAGAGTATTGCCTGTTACTGAAAAACAGCAGTGTGGTTTGCCAGCTTGGTTATTTGTTTTCAATTTAAATTTCTAGGTGCTTCCATCCATCAACAATTCTAATTTCTCTTACCCTACCAACTTTCCATTTCTTCATACCGACTTTTTAAAAAATGTGGTTCTCAGTATGTTATGCAACACTGAATATGCCCTTAGTGTACAGAATAGTGTTCCCTTAGATACAAGGGATATCTCCTTACTAAGTAAAAAAAGTCAAGCACATTATTCATCTTGTTTTCAATATCCATTCATTTTTATTTTTTTTTGTCATAGGAAACATTAAGGAACTTTTTGCTCCTGGTGTGATTGGGCCACAAACTGTGCTGGTGCTGGCAAATGCCATCTACTTTAAAGCAACCTGGCAACATCAGTTTAATCCACATTATACGACTGAAAGGAAGTTTAGGCTGAATGAGGTATTGCAATACTACAGAAAATATCATTACACTGTATAGCAGTATGTGGCCTTTTAAGTATGTCACAATATGGTATGACTTGACTATTCTTTTGAATATAATTGATGTGCCACCAACATTCTGAGTTGTTATATCATTCACAGGTAGGGAACCCGTGTCCTTTTAGATGATGATGGACTACAGTTTCCATGATGTCTGATGAATAACTTTGCTGGCCAGGGCTAATGGATTTTGGAGTCCAACAACATCTGAAGGACCACAAAGTTCCACATCCTTTTCAAGTTACTGATTGGCTGGCTTTCCAGTAACACAGAATATAAGGACAGTAATCTCAGGGTTAGTGTACATCATCAGATAGAAGTGGGAAAGACCCGCACCCAAGAGAGACCTGCTATCAATCACTTTCCCCTGATAAGTGGCCATCCAGCCTCCAGTTCATGATGCCAGATGAAAGAGACTCTGTTATTTTATTTTGTACTGTTAGACAGATTGCACCCAGGAAGTTCTTCCTACTATTCAGCCAAAATCTCATTTCTCCTCATTTAAACCCAGTAGCTTGGACTTCACTCCTCCCCAATATACAGAATAGAAAGAGAACTGTCTGCAGTGCAAAGGGATTTTTATTTCTTTATTTGCTTTCAAACACAGTTATTTCAGTGACTGAAGGTAGCGCTCCGTCTCTCTACCTCTTTGCAGTGACTATTGGTGGAGATGCCCCCAGTTGTCTAAATACAGTCCAAGCAAAGGTGGCAGCCATCCTGAGGCCTGCAATCTCAGGACGAGACTGAAATTCTTTTAAACAAACCTGGTTGTGATCTGCTGCAGGGCTACCCCCTAGTACTGTAATTCTGCCCAGAGTGGCAGAATGGGAGGGGATGGAGCAGCAGGCAGAAGCAGACTGCAAGTAGTCCTCATTTAGCAACCACAATTGGGACCAGCAACTCAGCTGTTAAGCGAAGAGGTCTCTAGGTGAAATCACGATTGTGCTTATGATCTTACGTTAGCTTTCCTTTGGTTTATAGACCTGTGAAGGTTGTAAGTGCAATGATTGGTCATAAAGTTACTTTTTCATCACTGTCATACCTGTAAACAGTTGTTAAACAAAGCGGTCGCTAAACGAGGATTACCTGTACAGAGAGTGCAGTGGCCAGCTTCAGTGCATATTGATAGGGTGACCACTAGGTGGCAGCAGACAGAGAAAGGGAAAACCCTTTGCTGCTATCTATTGGATTTTGTAATGGGGATTTGGAAGTCCTAGTACTAGCATAACTTTAAAGGGCTGCTTTGTCCCTAAGAGAGTGCCCTGAGCCATAATTACTACTGTTTATCCACAAGAACAGCTTAAATATGCAAGGTCTGGTCAGCTGAAGATGTGCGCTCCCTCCAATGTAGCCTCACTCTTGATTAATGGAATCGGTTTGCCTCGGGGCCCAGAGAACTTTATTTACACCCATGGGCACAAGTCACCCTTTGCAGATGTCTGAACAGACCACTTGCGGAAGCTTTAAACCTTAGGCTAAGCCTAATATTGTATGTTGCCAAACAAAACATGCCACCATGAAAAGTCCTAGAACAGCCACTTGCAAGCTTTTGATCTGCATGATGCTTTTTTTATTTAGAGGAATAGTCAAGCTGATCCTCAGTCTGCAGTCTGAATTGACACATGCTTTTTATGACTTAACACCATAAAGGGCAGTTCTATCCCGCCCCCAAAAAAAGAGTGGTTATCCAGATTTCTGCAGCCCACTCTGGTAGCCCTCTCAGAGAGGAGCTCCATACAGCTGTTTCCTCTTACAAGGGGCAGTGGGTTTGGACCTCTGCTTGACTGATGTCAGCTCACTTGGAACATTTTTACTCGTAAGAATTGGGCTATTATTCTGCTCCATGTGTAAATCAGGCTTAAGTCAATGCATTTTAAAGGATTCGGCCTCATGGCTTCACAAGGGATCCTCCCCTGCTGCTTAAAAAAAGAATCCCACAGCAACAGGGCGATGTATCTTTGGTGAGGTTAGAAGATGTGTAATACAGTTTATAAAATTGGAAGACAAATCTCCCTAAAATATTATCAACATGAACAATGAACATAATAGGAGAAAAGAAAATGGGCACATGGAATGTGGATTTTAATCTGTGCTGAAAACATGTTATACGCATATAATTTTCTATCATATAATTGATTCATCCCTTCTTTCAAGTACAGCCACTTGCCACATTTGCACGTTACCAAATCCTAGTTCTGCATTTTTGCCTTCGGCTTCTAAAAGTTGTGAACCATGCTATGTTGATCCTTAACACGAGAGGATGTTTTATTTCTTAAACATGTATCTTCTATCTTTGGAAACAGAATGAAACTAAATCTGTGTACATGATGTATCAGAAAGGGAGATTTAAACTGGGACACACAGATGAAAAAAATGGCCAGATCCTGTGCCTTCCATATGCCGGTGAAGTTTTGTCCATGTTTATAATACTACCAAATGACATCAGCCATCTGGGGCAGGTAAATCCAAAGCACATTAATGTGTTCTAACATTAAGACATAAAACTGTATGTATGTATGTATGTATGTATGTATGTATGTATGTATGTATGTATGTATGTATGTATGTATGTATGTATGTATGTATGTATGTATGTATGTATGTATGTATGTATGTATGTATGTATGTATGTATGTATGTATGTATGTATGTATGTATGTATGTATGTATGTATGTATGTATGTATGTATGTATGTATGTATGTATGTATGTATGTATGTATGTATGTATGTATGTATGTATGTATGTATGTATGTATGTATGTATTCCACAGTTTCTGTAATCTACCTCAATCTGCAGACTAGGGGCAGCAAGTGAAATAAAATAGTTCCATAAAACAGTGGCTCAACCTGCAAATGTTACAGTTCTTCACTGTGCAGTGCCTGAAGACCACTACAATTAACCATACTTTTCCATTATGTCTGAAACAGGAGGCTACAACTGCCAGGATCAGAATGAATCAGGTTCTGAAACAAACTTCATGTTATCAAATCCTGGTTTGTTTCATTCCTGTTAATCATGCTTTCTTTGTAAAGGCATAATGGCCATGTGCAGACAACATATTAAACCAGGTCAGGTAAAGACCTAGCAGATGCATTCTCACAACATATTAAATCTTGGTTAATATTAATCTTACCAAGGTTTTTGTGGCTTAGCATGTTGTATGAACATACCTGATCTGCTGAGTTTATGGTGCAGAATATTGTGCAAATGCAGTAAATAGATTAATTTGGTAACCAGGCTAAGTGTGTGGTGAGAACGCAGCCAGTGGGAAGCTACGGTTAACCCACTCATCAAATTTAGAGAAGAGAAAAAGGAAATGATGGCTACCGTAAGAGAGAAGCCAAGGTGGTGGCACCTTCAGGCTCCGACCGAGGTAGGTGACCTCCCTGCAGGTGGCAGTGCCGTCCTGTTGAAGAAAACTGTGCACCAACTTGTGGGTTGAGGCACTCTCAGCCTGTGGCTTAACAGTGCGCTTGCAGCATGACTATTTACAGCTCAGCACCTTTCAGGCATTAGAGGGAGCTCACAGAAAGGGAGAAGGAGGGAATTGAGACTCATGGCCACATTGACTGAAACACCTCTTTGGATGTGTTTCATGGGAAATTCTATCTGAGCTCTGTTCACTGTTATTCCGCATTTAATAAGTTCATTCAAGCTGGATAAAATCAGGGTTTAAGTGAAAAGAGTGCTCTTTTCTATCACAAATGTGATTATATGAGGATAGATGTAAAGCCCAGGTTACTGCTAAAATGATAACTTTCTGTCTGGATTTAATTTTATTCTCCTTCAAATAATGCATAAATAAATCAATAAAAATTATATATACATGTGTTTGTATGTATGTGTGTATGTATATGTACATATGTGTGCATGCGTACCTACGTGTGTGTCTGCGTGTGTCCGCGTGTATGCATACCTACGTGGGTGTCAGCGTGTATGCGTGTGTCGGCGTGTATGCGTACCTACGTGTGTGTCCGCGTGTATGCGTACCTACGTGTGTGTAGGCGTGTATGCGTGTGTAAGCACATATGCATACTTACGTGTGCGTAGGTGTGCATGTGTGTCTATGTATGTATGCATACTTACACGTGTGTATGTGTGCATGCGTGTCTACGTATGGGTGTGTATGCGTGTGTATGTGTGAATGCGTGTCTATGTATGCATGTATGTGTGTGTATCTGCATGCATCTATGTATGTATGCGTGTGTACTCGTGTGTATGTGTGCATGTGTGCATGTGTGTGTATGTGTGTGTATGTGTGCATGCGTGTGCATGCATGTGTATGTATGCGGGTGTATGTATATGTGTCTATGCGTGTATGAATTTGTATGCGTGTGTATGTATGTGTGTCTATGTGTGTATCCATGTGTATGTATGCGTGTCTATGTGTGTATCCGTGTGTATGTGTGTGCATGCGTGTCTATGTGTGTATGCATGCATATGTGTATGTGTGTGTATGCGTGTCTATGTGTGTATCCGTGTGTATGCATGTGTATGTATGCATGTCTATGTGTGTGTCCGTGTGTATGCGTGTTTATGGATGCATGTCTATGTGTGTATACGTGTGTATGTATGTGTATGTATGTGTGTCTGTGTATACGTGTGTATGTGTGTGTATGCGTGTGTATGCGTGTGTATGCGTGTCTGTGTATATGTGTGTATGCGTGTGTATGCGTGTCTATGTATGCGTGTCTATGTGTGTATGTGTGTGTATGCGTGTATGAATGTGTATGCGTGTGTATGTATGTGTGTCTATGTGTGTATCTGTGTGTATGTATGCGTGTCTATGTGTGTATCCGTGTGTATGTGTGTGCATGCGTGTCTGTGTATGCGTGTCTGTGTGTATGGATGTGTATGCGTGTCTGTGTATGCGTGTCTGTGTGTATGGATGTGTATGCGTGTCTGTGTATGCGTGTCTGTGTGTATGGATGTGTATGCGTGTCTGTGTATGC